GTGCGGTAAGGCATCGTCGCTGTTGTTCCTCCTTGAGCTGGCGGCGAGTGATATTCCCGACCAAGATGGGATGGCTGGCTTTGAGAGGGCAGAGCTGGGAGTCTGCGTGTCTAGGAGGTTCGACTTTATGTGGTGCAACGGCAGACTGGTGGGCACGGAAAGTTGTGGGACGCGAAAGTCACCGGACAGCCTCGAGAAGGCGTCGCTAGTTGACGATGTGCTTGACGCATCGAGGTATGGGCCAGGCCCCTTCGTATCGAATCTTTTCACAAGCGCAAGCTTATTCTTCATATCAAAGAAGGCATCGGCGCTAGAATGCAGCTGGAACTGGTTATGGTGCAGACCAAACTCGGCCGAGATGCTGGGCAGGTGGTAGTTAGGCCTATGAAAGCAGAATTGTCAGATGGGCACCGCTCTCGATATTCCAAGAGCTTCACCTTTTCTTGGAACCAAATGAAACAACAAAGGAAAGTTAGGGTCTCAAACCTTGTGGAATCCGAAGCTGAAGACGAACCTATGCTGAGATAACCCTCATCATTCCTATAAGCGGGCTCCGTGTATGGTGATCTGTAATGCGAACCTCCTAAGCTGTCACGATAACTGTACTCCCTCAGGCTGTATGAATCGCAGTAGGGTTGTGGTTGTCCGGGCCCCTGATGATACGCGTGAAGATTGCCGAAGGGGAGTTGTGTTGGTGGTAAGGGCCGCGATGCGTTCATCACGTCTCCAAAACTGTCGGAAGTGGTGACAGAAAAAGAACTAATGCTAGGGACGAATCTCCCTGAGTATTCTAGGCTTGATTGTTCCAAGATACCAGGAAGATCTGCCGTCTCATCGCCTCTCGAATATGCCTCCATGATATCGGTTCGTCTTTGTGCACTTCCCAACTGAGAGTTGAGGTATCAGCCGGAGCGGTGACACTCAAGTTGAGAGTGACGGAAGCGCGAGCGTCGTGGGTGTGGGACTGGGAGATGCCTATAGTGATCGCGGTCGGATACGAGAGGCGTCCGAAGGCAGATTAATTTAATCGTCAAAGATGCCGTGGGTGACGATGGCCGTCGACTTCACTTTGAGTGGGAGCAGGGACCAGTGCAAGCCGAGAATGGTTCTAGGCTCTGAGCTTGGCGTCGCGGTGCTGCTGCGATGTTCCGTAGGGCGTTAAAAAGCATGGTCATGTAGTCTTTGACTTCAAGCCGGGTCGCCAACATTTGATCAGCAGCACCAATTGGGCTCGTTCTCAGGCCGCCCGTCAAGGTTGTATTCCGCCAGGGACAGTCCATCTGGAAGCCATGTAGAGATACCTCGCGTCACCCCTTGGTCGGACAGGTCCTAGCAGCATGCTCAGCTCACCGAGGTCGTAGCTCGCCTCGCTTTGCAAATCTGTCTCTTGGAGACGGTAACCACATACTTCGCAAAGATGCCAACATTGCTGTGTGACGCCGTGCTAGCTCGTTCGGGACGAACAATAGCTGAGGCAGGCGTGCTACTAAGGTGGAGTCGGTCTCGGACGATCTGCAGAGACCGGATTTTCGATAATTGACACGGAGATCTTCCCCGCTATACTACTGGATATGCGGCTGGATACGCGGCTGGAACAGGCCTTGAGCTTCCTGCCTTTTCAGAGGAGAACCCGCACAGGGCTGCAGGCTATGACTCGCTGGTCTTGCAGACGATACGTCTCTCGGCTAACACTGCAACATAGCGTAAGTGCTCCGCTGGGTACCTCACGCCCCCGACTCGCCTTGGCCTGCTGCCTCTGACCCTGCCCCCCTGCTTCCGGGTCCATGACCACGATCCCTGTGAAGTACTTTTATGTCACTGCGAGTGTTCTCCTCTGACACCCCCTCTTCCCGCACACCCACCCCTCTTCATCTGATCAGCGTATTCCTGGTGACTGTTGAAATCGCGCCAGTGTGCATGTTACGTTCCTCATTGGGTGGGCTGCAGACGAGCCGCATCGGATTTGTTGCAACGTGCCAGGGTCTGTAGGCCGGCCGTTGGAGCCTTGCCCTTCGCCGACGGACGACAAGGACAAGGATAACCTCCTTTCAAGGAGGAATTGGCGGCATCTTTTCGGGTCGTGTCCGGTGTTGTCCATGGCTTATTTTGTCCAATCGCGGGGCATCCGATAAACACATCTACGTCCGGGATGTGAAGCGGTTCCTGGTAGGGTGCTTTTTAGACAGTGCCCGTCATGGTGGCTTCCACGCCACGGAAGGATCCAAGGAATCGGCCCTGCGCTCTTGTCTCCTTCGAGAGTTCAGCGAGAAACTGGTTGTCTAACGTTGACACGGGAAGTTCAGCCCGGCGCAAAGCAGAAATCTACAATGGCGTCCAGCCGTGGCCGTCGTCTGACATACCAACCGATCCAACGCGTTGTGTCTGAGATGCGCATATAGGAGCCCACCAGTAACCTAACTAAAAGTACCAGAAACGAATCTTTCCACGAAAGGGCAGCCGAACCACCAAAGGCTTCGTCGAAACACGAACAGTTGATCAGGTCGATGGAGTAGCCCAACCGCCTGAACGAAGGCAAAGACCTGTCCGATGGAGTACGGGGACGTTTGCATGATAAGAATTGAGATGGAGCTGGGCCGGTGGCTTCGGAGTGCCGAGTATTGTCACCCCTTTCCCCTAGACTACGCAGCCGAGTCTCAATGCGCCACAACACACACTCGATATACGTACATGATTTCAGTCCGGGGTCTACGTACGCCGCAGAACACCACCTAAAGCTCACTCGTGCATAATAATGACCCACGGCAAACCCAAGGCCATTCTTAGAGCACCTACCAACGAAGACTCCCATTCGTCACGGTAGCCAGGAGAATTGTGTATGGCAAGCAAAGAACCTTGCATGTCGGACTAGACGCGTTCCGATGCCTCGGACGCGAATCAGGCTCACAGTTCGAGGCGCTCGTGTTTATCCTTGGCTACCCCACTGAAGTCTGCATGTCCAGATACTGCTACTTCACTCAGAACAATCCCTCTTACTCGGTCTATACCCTCCTTTCTACCTTCTCACACCATCACAACAATGTCTCATATCATGCTCAACCATGCGCGGCTTTCATGCTCACTCCTGGCTGCTGTACTCTCACTGATAGCGCCCTTAACACCGGAGCACCGTATCTCGCCTCCGGCACTCTTTCTTCGGACCTCCTGCGCGCAACTGGCGATAACATGGATCAACATGTTGCATTTGTTGGCTTTATCTATCATGAGACGAGATACCGACAGTGTTCCTGTCTGGTGCGCTGTTCTCTTCGCGGCCTCAGGGGTTTTCCAGGTAGACAGGCTCTACGACGACTCGACCCGTCTCTGGGCACCCTATCGATGGGCTTGGTACTTAGGGTTGGTCAGAGAATGTATCGACATTGCGCAGCTCGTTATGGCACGAGAATCCAGCGCTTCATCATGCCTGAGTCTGTTTCTAGCTTCCTGGATGCTCGTTCTCTACGCCATTCTGCACTTTTCCATTCGGCCCGGAAAAGGCAGCAGTCAGACACCTCCAGCTCAGAGCAAAACCCAGAGCACTATGCCCGGCAAAGTCAATTTCGAGAATATCCACAGAATCAGATTCGATCTGGGACGATGGACGGACTCGTTTCGTACCTTCAAGCGGTTCATCTGGCCAAGTGACAATGCCCCGATGAAAGTGCGTCTTCTTTTCATCGTGCTGCTGAATCTAGGCCGCAAGGGACTCGAGCATTGGGCTTCGCAAACCTTTGGTCGAGTCATCGATGGCCTCGCAGATAACGATGTATGGTCTCCCGGAAGCACGCTTCTGGTTACGTGGGCCATCTCGCGGGTTTGCGTGCTCTTAGTACGCATGCCAAAACAGTGGATGTGGCTCTTACTGCATGCCTATAGCGAAGAAAATTTCGACAAAGCTATTTTTGCCAATATCATGAGCGCGGATGCCGCTTTCCATACGCAGAACAACCCGGCGAGGCTACACAATGCGGTGGACAATGCGCAAGGCGCTAGGTCATCCTTTGACGCTCTCGTAGAGGCCTCTGTCGATGCTTTGTTTGCAACGTGCGTCACCATTCCGGCTGCAGCACGTAAATTCGGACGACACGTAATGGCCATCACGGCCATACGTCTGATTGTGTTGTTCATCAACTTCAGACGAGGGACAGCAAGATCTCAACGCGCCAATGGGCAAGTTTTGGCTACTCGGAAATTCCACAAGGAGCATCGGGAGGACAAAATCAGAGGCTGGAGGACGGCGGCTGTCTTTGGCCAGCTCGCGCATCAGATTGCCGAGAACGACAAAAATGTCGAGCGCCTTCACCGATCAGTATCCCAGTTTCACAGGGAGGCGCTCACATCTTGGGCTTACAGAACCATGACCGAAGACGCCGGACACGTGATCAGCGTGTTGGTCGTTTGTGCGCAGGTTTTTCTTGGGACGTCGGCCCCAGGAGATCTTGCGGTCTTCAATTTGCATTGGGAACAGATTACGACTCCGGCAACGTTGCTGTGACAGGGCCTGGAAGGGATTATGAAGAACTTACAGGATGCTGCTGACGTAGTGGGAATCATGAACATGGACTCGAAGGGGCCAGTCAATCGATTAAGGTGCGTAGAGGGTAGAATAGAGTTACGGGATGTCAGTGTTAGCCTTGGTGGTCAGGTGGTGCTCGATTGCTTCAACCTGGAGATTCCGTCGAAAAAGAAAGTGGCCCTTGTT